GCCAGGATAGATGTTTACCTGATACTCATCAGATGGTTAGAATGGTTACAAATTTGCCACGATAAATATTTACCCAAAAATGCAAAATTTTCCAGACAAAATATTTATCGACCATGCCAAATCTGCCAGTAGTTATTACAAATTTGCCAAGATACAAATTTATCCAAATCAGAAATGCTACAGAGACAAAAGTATCAATCAAAAAATGCCAAATTTTCCAGCACAAAAGTTTTGTCAAAAGTATATAACACTCAATAATATTTTAGGGATCATTTGAATATATATATATATAACAAATATTTATAATTTCTACCAGAGAAACTAAAAGTCATGTTCTAAAAGATGTGTACATTATAAGATAATATGCAGAATATACAATAATATAGACAACAATTAGAAAGTATGAAATGAATGTTCCAGTCACTAACAAGTAACAATAGTAACAATTAATCTAAATACATGTTTCTCAAAAAGCATTTCTCTTGGTGAATTTATTGCCTGATCTTTGTTGTTTGACCTTCACCTCCGATCAGCTTGTGACCCAGCACCAGAAACACCTCTGAGTTGTGGAACCTTTTGCCCTGCACCCCATGAGGTGTTTCAGGTATACAGTCCATAATACAATGTAAGCTAGCCGTTGTTCCATTAACTCTTGCAAACTCTCAAGGCCTCACAGTGTGGCAGCTAAAAACTAAGTGAAGAACTTGTCGCTGACCTCCAACATCCAATGTGCTGTCAAGGGAAGCATTTCTTGAGTGTTCAGTGTTTGACGTGCTGTCGAAGGAAACAGAATTCTGATGTTCCTCATGCTATGTGCTGACTGTAGTATGATTCCCAATCTGAAACAAGAAATTACAAGACTTACTAATCTATCATCATCCTCATCATCATCCTTTGTAATGGGGGATATTTTCACCCAGTTTAGGATGGTTGGGGGGAAGGCCCAAAGCTGACCTAAAACACCGAGATAGTCCAGATACTTGGATAAAACGAGAATCTGGAGATAGGTGAATAACCACTAGTTATCACGGGGACCACGATGATGCGACCCAAGGTCGCCACGAGAAAAGTAAAGGACCACCACGTGTTGTCACGTGAAACGGACCCGTGGTATAAGTCAGACTTGACGCTGGTCAAGTTTAGTTTGTGTCGACCTGTTGGAGTGAGAGGACGTGCGGCTGAATGTGAGAATGTCTACGTGAGTGCCTGTGGAGAAAGGAGACCTGCCGACGAAGTGTGAAGCCGAGATCGACCATGCCAGCGTGTGAGATGCCCAAACATCAATGTGAATCCATGGGATCCAACTTTGCTTGAATGCTTGAAGAAGACTGTTCGTTGAAGGCTGCATGAGTTTGGGTACGAGAGCTGTTCACTAGGACACCGACTGGACATTTCCCGTTGTAAGTGAAATTACGTCAATAAATTCATGTCTCGTAATCTCATATTGGTGTCGGCTTGTGCCAGTTGTGTAACGTGGAGCGTGTGATAAGATCATCCACCACACACGCATGAATACTGCCTAGACAGCGAGAACCAAACACAAACCATTTATTACATCCTTATACGCGGTTATATATCACACCGGGTTTGCAGACCCTGCTTCTATTTCACTGTATCTTGTGCAATGAAATCCAGTACAGCAAGTGTGGCCTCTATTATCAATGCCTGTCTTGTGGGGGCCCTCACTGTTTCCCATGTAAGTGCCTGTTCTGACTTATAAATGATGATACTAGCAGCTGTCCAGACATTTCTCTTATCTCTTCTCCCATCAGTAAAGGGTCACTTTCTGGGGCTGCAGTAACAAGCGACACCAGCTCTATGACAACTTTCTGGGGCTGCAGTAACTAGTGACACCAGCTCTATGACAACTTTCTGGGGCTGCAGTAACTAGTGACACCAGCTCTATGACAACTTTCTGGGGCTGCAGTAACTAGTCTATGACAACCTGGGGCTGCTATGACAACTTTCTGGGGCTGAAGTAACTAGCTCTATGACAACCAGCTCTATGACAACTTTCTGAGGCTGAAGTAACTAGTGACACCAGCTCTATAACAACTTTCTGGGGCTGAAGTAACTAGCGACACCAGCTCTATGACAACTTTCTGGGGCTGCAGTAACTAGTGATACCAGCTCTATGACAACTTTCTGGGGTTGATGTAACTAGTGACACCAGCTCTATGACAACTTTCTGGGGCTGCAGTAACTAGTGACACCAGCTCTATGACAACTTTCTGGGGTTGAAGTAACAAGCGACACCAGCTCTATGACAACTTTCTGGAGCTGAAGTAACTAGTGACACCAGCTCTATGACAACTTTCTGGGGCTGCAGTAACTAGTGACACCAGCTCTATGACAACTTTCTGGGGCTGAAGTAACTAGTGATACCAGCTCTATGACAACTTTCTGGGGCTGAAGTAACTAGTGACACCAGCTCTATGACAACTTTCTGGAGCTGAAGTAATCAGTGACACCAGCTCTATGACAACTTTCTGGGGCTGCAGTAATCAGTGACACCAGCTCTATGACAACTTTCTGGGGCTGCAGTAATCAGTGACACCAGCTCTATGACAACTTTCTGGGGCTGAAGTAACTAGTGACACCAGCTCTATGACAACTTTCTGGGGCTGCAGTAATCAGTGACACCAGCTCTATGACAACTTTCTGGGGCTGAAGTAACTAGTGACACCAGCTCTATGACAACTTTCTGGGGCTGAAGTAACTAGTGAATCCAGCTCTATGACAACTTTCTGAGGCTGAAGTAACTAGTGACACCAGCTCTATAACAACTTTCTGGGGCTGAAGTAACTAGCGACACCAGCTCTATGACAACTTTCTGGGGCTGCAGTAACTAGTGATACCAGCTCTATGACAACTTTCTGGGGTTGATGTAACTAGTGACACCAGCTCTATGACAACTTTCTGGGGCTGCAGTAACTAGTGACACCAGCTCTATGACAACTTTCTGGGGTTGAAGTAACAAGCGACACCAGCTCTATGACAACTTTCTGGAGCTGAAGTAACTAGTGACACCAGCTCTATGACAACTTTCTGGGGCTGCAGTAACTAGTGACACCAGCTCTATGACAACTTTCTGGGGCTGAAGTAACTAGTGATACCAGCTCTATGACAACTTTCTGGGGCTGAAGTAACTAGTGACACCAGCTCTATGACAACTTTCTGGAGCTGAAGTAATCAGTGACACAGGCTCTATGACAACTTTCTGGGGCTGCAGTAATCAGTGACACCAGCTCTATGACAACTTTCTGGGGCTGCAGTAATCAGTGACACCAGCTCTATGACAACTTTCTGGGGCTGAAGTAACTAGTGACACCAGCTCTATGACAACTTTCTGGGGCTGCAGTAATCAGTGACACCAGCTCTATGACAACTTTCTGGGGCTGAAGTAACTAGTGACACCAGCTCTATGACAACTTTCTAGGGCTGAAGTAACTAGTGACACCAGCTCTATGACAACTTTCTGGGGCTGAAGTAACTAGTGACACCAGCTCTATGACAACTTTCTGGAGCTGAAGTAATCAGTGACACCAGCTCTATGACAACTTTCTGGGGCTGCAGTAATCAGTGACACCAGCTCTATGACAACTTTCTGGGGCTGAAGTAACTAGTGACACCAGCTCTATGACAACTTTCTGGGGCTGCAGTAATCAGTGACACCAGCTCTATGACAACTTTCTGGAGCTGCAGTAATCAGTGACACCAGCTCTATGACAACTTTCTGGGGCTGCAGTAATTAGTGACACTAGCTATATGACAACTTTCTGGGGCTGAAGTAACTAGTGACACCAGCTCTATGACAACTTTCTGGGGCTGCAGTAACTAGCGACATAAGCTCTATGAAAACTTTCTGGGGCTGAAGTAACTAGCGACACCAGCTCTATGACAACTTTCTGGGGCTGAATTAACTAGCAACACCAGCTCTATGACAACTTTCTGGGGCTGCAGTAACTAGCAACACCAGCTCTATGACAACTTTCTGAGGCTGAAGTAACTAGTGACACCAGCTCTATGACAACTTTCTGGGGCTGCAGTAACTAGCGACATAAGCTCTATGAAAACTTTCTGGGGCTGAAGTAACTAGCGACACCAGCTCTATGACCACTTTCTGGGGCTGAAGTAACTAGCAACACCAGCTCTATGACAACTTTCTGAGACTGAAGTAACTACTAACACCAGCTCCGTGACACGGGTTTACTTTCTACATCAACAGTGACCAGTACCATACATACAGAAACTGTGTATACAGCGGTCACTTCACACAAGACTGTGTGTAGGCAAGTGTCATACAAGTAGGTATGAATGAAATGCCAATACATAGAATTTATCATAAACCAGCTTCTGCAGGCCAGTTTTCAAAGTAAAGGACCGCTGTTCCCATCAGGGACACATCAGTATATGATGCCAGACATATCTGTAACAACCAATCAGCTCTTAACTGGTGATGTGCTGGCTGGCTGCCTTTACTTCCCAGTACATTACCTAGTACCCAATTTAGGCTGGGTCAATGTGGCAGCCAATGTCATTTTTGAAAAATCAAGTCAACCTGGAATGGATTCAAACATAAGACCTTCCGGTTGGCAGATGAATATAATACCCATTATACCACTGCTGTTACCCAACAGATACTAGTAATTAATATTCTTCATACATAAAAAGTAAAAGGGAAAGTCGGAAGATGTGAACCATTGTCATTGCACACGGTTTTAAACCATAAGTGCTCTGCCACCAGTAGAGGCAGCTGATAAGAAATTGTCCGCCTTTGTCACCGTCCACACATAACTCTGTAGCTACAGCAACGTTCTTTCAACTCTGGTACCCATTTCCCAGAGGCTGGCTGAACCCCGACTATGGGCTGCAGTGAGTTGCAGCTGGATGTGAAAGCGAGTCTCCTATCAATTGCACTAACGCGGCTCCCATTCCTCAAACATGCCTAACATCACCCCAGAGTAAAATCACTTACCCCCCACAAAACTGCTGCTGCTTTAGAAGTAGATGATCTTCTCTGCTTCTTTCTGATCACTTTCCGACTTTGAAACTGGACCTCCTGGGGCTCCCGCAGGCTGTGGAGCAGGTGTCTTTTTGGATGAGGGCAACGAGCCAGCATTACTTCCAGACGGTGGCTTTGGATCGGCTAGCTTCATCACTCCTGCCAGACTGGAAGGCACATTGTTTCTAGCTAGCTGCGCCAGGGCCGAACGAGAAGCTGCAGACATGGACTGGACTCGAGAGACTCCAGCTCCACGAGTAGGTGGCTGTTGGGACGGGGCGCCAGTGGCGGCACTGTTTGGACCTGAAAGCTTCAGCGGCAAACACTGAACATTGGCACCCCCGACTCTTTGTTCATTGCGGGCACTCAACAAATGCACAGGGAGGCCCGCCAGCTTGGCATTAGCACCAGTGTTTGAACCCTGCCCCTGTGTGTTACCAACTGACAACCGTGGCTGGCGAGGGAAACCCTTAGAAGCATCTCCAGCATACGAAGGAAAATTGTTCATGTTCTCAATATCACTGATGGCAACGGTGTTGTAGAAATCTGCAGAGGCCGATCTGCGATGAGACATTGGCCGCTGCCGCTCTGGGAGGTCACCAGTCATGATGTCAAGGTCGGTTCCTTCGTTGCTGGGGTCATCACTCGCTGAACTGGACACCTGATAGCCCTGTTGTCTCATCATGTCTATCTGTCGCTGTAAGACTTCTCTCTCCCTCTTCAAATCATCCTTTTTCAGACGCAGGTCCAGCTTAAATCAATTGGGGAAACAACAACTATTAAAGAAACAGGCAAACACTAACTTACAAATGTCAACTAATAAACAACTATTAAAGAAACAGGAAACACTAACTTACAAATGTAAACTAATAAACAACTATTAAAGAAACAGGCAAACACTAACTTACAAATGTCAACTAATAAACAACTATTATTATGAGATGAATTAATGCCTGGAGGAATATCATCAGTGGAACTGATTCAGAGTACCAAAGACTGAGAGATATGTGGAGATACCTAAGCTGAACCATTTCATTCTTTGTCAACATAATTCAGACATGGTCTTATTCCCACTTTCTCTCTAATGCTGGCATTCCTAACCCTGTCTCTTCCTGTGTTGTTAGTGACCTTGCAGAGACAGCGCATTTCACATGTGGTTATTTTCTGTTCTAGTGCCCTATTCATTGTGCATCATTAATTGAAACCATGAATGATATTCTCAGAGTTTCTCCACAACCATGACACATTCATATACTTTTACCATAGACCAATGTTTCCCCACCCCATGGGGGACGGGGAGGGAGGGGGGGGGGGCCTCATTGTTAGGGGGTGCAGTTTAAAAATGGACTCATACAGAGAATTAGGCTACACAGGGGACATAAGAATTTTAGAAAGGCTTATTTATGTACAGGGCATGGCACACAGCCATAGACATTCCTAACTTCTTTTGGGTTTATTCCTAAAAAGGCAGTTGGCATGTTGTGTTGTGGTTTACAGCTAGGCTGCAATATCTGGGCCTTTAGGCCCAACACAATTGATGTCAACAAACTCTAAATTAGTCACCTTTTAGGACATGCTTGTTGGAAAGTGGTGAAAAGGGGGAGTGGGGGGAGGGGGAGAGAGAAAGCAAGCAGTGGCTCTATCCCCCCCACCACCCGATGAGGTAATGGAACACAGAAGATGACGAAGTTACAGACTAAAATAGGCGTACCTTTTCTTTCTCTATTTCTTTTCGCTCATTCTCCAGCTTCAGCTTTTCCATCTCCAGCCAAGTGCGGTCCTGCAGTTTGGTTTTCTCCAACTCCTGCCTCTCCCGGCTGATGTTCTCCTGCAGGTTTCGCAGCTCCTCTAGCTGATCATGGCGGTAAACTGAGCGTCTGCCCTGCATATCTGCTGAAAGTTTGGCAATTTCTTCTTTGGCTTCTGCTAGTTCAGCTCTGAGACTTTCCACTTTTGTGCATTGTTTTGAAGTTAGATTCTGCAAACAAAATAAAGAGGTCACCATATCATATCATTAAAAGCACTCTGAAATATCAAAGAAATAGAACAATTGCTGTCCTCTCTTCTTTTTCACATTCACCGGCTGTAAAATCCGGCACAGAGTCCTGGCTGTTCATTTCTGAGTTGTGGTTTTTGTTTCAGAATTTTGAATACACATCCATTTTACAGATCTGGCGTAAATGTATGCAGACTGCTGGTTCCTAGCTGCTCAGGCAGATGAACTCCAACTTTAGAAAAAACAAACCCCCACCCTCTAACTAGTTGACTTTTATTACACGCCTGATCATCATCAGGTGCCTTGCCGACTGGTGTGGGCGATCATGCCTCTCCATAATCTGCGATCTCCTGCAGTATGTATCAGTTCGGGTGCTGACACACCTCCATGCCATGCAACAAGACTGTCAAGCATCTTCTCTCGTTGTCTTCCTCTATCCCTTTTTCCACAGATCTTTCCAGTGGTCACAACATGTTCTTTTTTCCCTCTTCTCATAACATGGCCGAAAAATTATGACTGTCTCCTTTTGATGTCTGTGATAAGTTGTCTTCGGGCTCTTTCAAAATCTCTTGGTTGCTCCTTTTGGCTGTCCAAGGTATTCTAAGCATTCTTCAGTAAAACCACATCTCTGAGGCCTCTAAAAATTGTTTGGCCGGGCTACCGATTGTCCAGGATTCACAGCCATATGTTAAAACTAGAATGCATGTAGCAAGCAAGGATTCTTTTAAAAGGTCTATTCCCACCACAAAGGGATGCTGGAACCCACATGTGGAACACAGGGTCTGATTTGACTCCAGGAGCTTCAACACACATTTGGGACTTGCTTATTAAACAGCCACTAACTCACTGTATCTCATCAGGTACATTCTACAGTAACAATTGAAATGGAGCAAATAAATGTACCCTTCTAACTGACACACAATATCCACTACATTAAAAAAAACAGGAACATTTCCTTTTTAGTCTGAATAATTCTGGCCTGAACTGGTTTATTGTTGTGGCTTCCATATATGGTAGTATTCTGCCATTGGTTGAGGTATACAGAATTCAAAATGCATTGTCCTTGTCTATAAAGTGGCACTTCAGTTGGAAGGATTATTTGCTTAATTTTAACTGTTACTGTAGTATGCATCTGACAAGATACAGTGTAATTTGCCATGCAGTCAATTGTGCAATCTATAATTTTTGTCTTCTTTATTCAAACTGAACTAGCAGTCCACACAATCAGTATATTCAGCCCATAAACATTAGCCACATACATACACACACAAAACACATAAATACCATCAGTATGTTGAGGTACCCACATGCATGAGCTATAAACACATACACAAAACACAAACATATTATCAGTACATAGAGCCCACAAGTATTAGCACACAAACATATACACAAAACACATACATACCATCAGTATATTTTGCCCACATGTATTAGCACACAAACATAGACACAAAACACATACATACCATCAGTATATTTTGCCCACATGTATTAGCACACAAACATAGACACAAAACACATACATACCATCAGTATATTGAGCCCACATGTATTAGCGTACAAACATATACACAAAACACATACATACCATCAGCATATAGAGCCCATATGTATTAGCACACAAACATATACACAAAACACATACATACCATCAGTATATTGAGGTACTGCACCAGGTGACATATGGAGGTCATCTGCTCGTGGTTGGTGGGAGGATGAGTCAGCGAGGAGACAGAGACCGCTGACAGCTCTCCTAGAGAGCCCCGATCACTGGACTTGTCAGAGTTGGCCGTCTCCTCCCACAGGTGGGCGTTGCTGCCATGCTGTAGTGGAGACGGATACGTCTGTGTGTTTCCTCCTGCCATCTTTGGTTCCAGTGTGTTCATCTCCTGCAAAATGACAACAGACATTGTAACTAGTAGTACATCACAGAAGACCTCCATGACTCAGAAGACCTCCATGACTCAGAAGGCCTCCATGATACAGAAGACCTCCATGACTCAGAAGGCCTCCATGACTAAGAAGACCTCCATGACACAGAAGACCTCCATGACTCAGAAGGCCTCCATGACACAGAAGGCCTCCATGACTCAGAAGACCTCCATGACTCAGAAGGCCTCCATGACTCAGAAGGCCTCCATGACACAGAAGGCCTCCATGACTCAGAAGACCTCCATGACTCAGAAGGCCTCCATGACTCAGAAGACCTCCATGACACAGCATTAGCACACTAACCTCCTCATATAATGCCCAGTTATGGCACCAGCATGTTTTTGTTGCAGGATGGCTGTTTAGAGGACTAGCATATTCCTTGTTTTCACATTCACCAGCAGTAAAACTCTAGTGGAAAGTTCTGGCTGTTTCTGGTTGTCAGGACTTTAGTCCCATTTTAGAACCTGAGTTTTATGTGCACATCTGTTTTGTTTTACAGATCAGGCTTTTTTGTATGCATGTTAGTTCCTTGCCCTTTCTGACAGATGCACTCCCATCTAGAAAGATCCGCCACTAACTATGCCATGTTTACAACATGCTTGTTATGGGTCAGTGGGTCTATCCCCCTCCACGTACAATGGGAATCCAGACCCCACAAGGGGAACTAGCATATTAAACTTCTGATTTACTGTTGCATGAGGCTATTTACTGACAGCTGGCAGTGGTGGCAGAATGACAAGGTCAACTAAGAGCAATTTGTGGGATTTTCACCCAAGTGCAAACTGAGGACTGTTTTTTCTCACTTTACAATAAGCCAAGGGCACACACGTGAATTCCTGCTTCAATCTGGTCAAAATGAAAGTATTACTTTCATGCAACGACACAAGTTTTAACTGCCACCAAATATCCGGATGCAATTTTTTGGGGGGCAATACACAGTTATCAATTTATGCCCAACTGACTTATAAAGTCACTAATTTATGCCCTAGTGACACACAAAGTCACCAATTTATGCCCTACTGACATACAAAGTCATCAATTTATGCCCTAGTGACATACAAAGTTGTCAATTTATGCCCTAGTGACATACAAAGTCATCAATTTATGCCCTAGTGACATACAAAGTCATCCATTTATGCCCTAGTGACATACAAAGTCATCAATTTATGCCTTAGTGACATATAAAGTCATCAATTTATGCCCTAGTGACATACAAAGTCATCAATTTATGCCTTAGTGACCTATAAAGTCATCAATTTATGCCCTACTGACATATAAAGTCACCAATTTATGCCCTACTGACATATAAAGTCACCAATTTATGCCCTAGTGACATATAAAGTTACCAATTTATGCCCTAGTGACATACAAAGTAAACAATTTATGCGCTAGTGACACATAAAGTTACCAATTTATGCCCTAGGCATAAATTGACATATAAAGCCACAAATTTATGCCCTAGTGACATATAAAGTCATCAATTTATGCCCTAGAGACATATACAGTTGCCAATTTATGCCCTAGTGACATACAAAGACAATGATTGATCAGTGGCATAAAAAAGACACTGATGTATGCTCTAATGAAATTAGGAAGACACTGACTGATATCCTAGGGACATAAAATTATGCCTCGGTGGCATATAAAAAAGTAAAAAAAAGTAAAGATCCCTTTTCACGCCTTAAGGCGCATTGGGCATATGGGCAGAGCGTCCCATATTTTTACAGACCATCAGCACTCTGTGGGTAATGTGGTCAGCATTACACCGGCTGTCTTTACTTTCCCAGGACAGCCCATCCTGGTACCCATTTTAGGCTGGGTCGACCTGCGACGTCCCATACCACGACAAAAATCCACGCAGCCTGCAGTGGGTTTCGATCGCGGTATGCTGGCTCACGAGTCGGACTCGCAACGCCTTAGCCACGGACGCCGCTCTCGGTGGCATATGCAAGACACTAATTTTCGCTGATTCATTCCCTGGTGACTTAAAAAATACTGATGTTCTAGTGACGTACAAAAGACGCTGATTTATGCCCTAATGACAAATAAAAGGCACCATTTGTGCCCAGTGATGTATAAAAGACACACACGGATCTCAGAGAGAAGAGACCCAAGACAGATGTCTACCTTGGCTGCTGCTGCTGCTGGAGTGGCTTCTGGAGCATCAGAAAAACTGCTGTCGCCCTCTTGCTGGTCGAGGCTCAGCACGCTGGGCGACCGGCCCTCCTCCTCCTCCTGGCCCACATTAACAAACCTCTGCTTCATGGCACTAACTGCAAGAGTTCAAGACAACCAACAAATCAGACAACTGCTAACTATTAATATGTCTCCTACAACAATGATTTGGCACAAGCAACACAGTATGTGTCATTTATTAACTCATTACATTCTGTGCTGGTCTTCAAGTTCTTGTTTCTCATTCACCTGTTACATTAACCTACTCTTTATTATCATTACTTTTAGTTCCTACATAATTTTTATGTTAACTTTTTCTGTCTCAGATGGTTTCAAAGCAGAAACCCAATTTGGCAAAACAATGACTTTCTTCAAAAGATACATCATACACTGTGCTGCATTTAAAAGGCTGGCCAGATTTCTTTTGCGTACTCAGATGAAACAAATAAATAACATACCATGTGTTGCGCCAGAAAGAGTTAATTACTTTTAATGCAACATTTTAATGCAAGCAATTTTTCAAATAGAAAAAGTTGGTCTCACAACTCTCTGTACTTAAAAAAAAAAAAAATCTTTTTCAAAAATACATTAAAAAAGACAAGGCAGTGTTATAATTCTCTGAAACTATCGTATGAGAAGAGCGACACTATCGTATGAGAAGAGCGACACTATCGTATGAGAAGAGCGACACTTATCGTATGAGAAGAGCGACACTATCGTATGAGAAGAGCAAGCAAAAGAAGTTAAGTCTTGGTCAGTTTTTATAACAAATCAGGGGGTTGAAACTAATGACCACTGAGCAGACAGGCTAGCCTGCTAACTACTACATCATAGTAGCCTCTCAGTCACTCAAAAAATGGAGTTTTCATATCAAGAGTCTTATTTTGTATAAAAGACATTTTTTTTTTTAAATACGAAGGACATTAATCAATAAATAAAAATGCAGCAGATAAATAAGTGCTTTCTTTCCCTTTGAACAAGAAAAAAAAAAGGTTTTTTGTTGACACATCCACAGGGAGCAAAGTGATAAGTCCCAATGACAAAAAAATACTATTTTTCTGGTCAATATAATAAAACCCAACGTATCTACACACCACGCTATCAGTACCAAAGCTGTTTGTTATATAGGCATATTGTTAGTTACATATCCTTTACAGGTCGTTGCAGAACCAACCCCAACATTCTTTGCCTTTTGTGGTTTTACTAGGCAAATTTCACATCAAGAAGTTTGCCATTGCTTTCTAAATGGTTAGCTCCAGGCACCACTGTAGAAATCAAAGCAAGACAACCTGTTGGAAATTGCTTGGAGCGGAGATCAAACTCGGCACCTCAGCATTACAATGTTCGCAAACCCTAAGCCACTAATGTCGACAGGCATAATGACCACTGCCTAACTATATCATCAAAAACCTGTAAAATTAGGAAAACCAGCTTTTTCGGAATGATAACATACAGGGTATTAGTACAAGGAAAAAACATATTATACATGGGTATTTTACAAGGTAGAGAAATATATTGAACTTGTATGTTAGTACAAGGTAAAGGAATATTAAACACAGAAGTTAGCACACACTGATACCAGGCCATGTTGAACAATCCAAAACATAATGTTAGTTGCGACCACACTAAGTGACAAAATATTTTATTGCAATATTATGTAACACATATATTTAACATATAAACATTACATGCTAGCTTATTTTGCGTAAATCTTCATAGCTCTACTAATCTCTAACTGGCTAGGTTGAATGTTGAATAAAGAATGGACATCACAGTAATCGGGACACCCCCTTAAGCGATCTCAATCCCTATCTACAGCAGCAAGCCAAGAGTTAAAATTCCGATGGTACCAGTAACTGTCTGATTGTATATTCCTATCGCCTTTCCCTTGAGTTTTGAGCGTCAGCCAGATTCTCTTGTAACTCCTTGCAGTGCTATTCTCCTCAGATCATAATGATCTATCTGTGACTCGGCACTGTTCACTTTCTCCCAAAGGGAGCTCACAACATCCAGCTTGTCATACATCAGTTCATCACCAGGTGGTGCAAAACCGGCTAGTCTATCTGCCTGCTCATTTCCCAACAGTGGCATGACCTGGATAAAATATCCACAGGATGCCAACTACCCGGGACCTTTGAAGTAAAGCTTGCCACTCTGCATGGAGCATGCCTGTCTCCACCTTTCTCAACATGCTCTGTGAGTTAGTTACAATAATGGCATGTGTGTACAGCTGATTCTCAAGCCAGAGGAAGGCAGCAGTGACTGCTTCCACCTCCATTCTCAAACTAGACGTGATATCATATGCCAGGCTTTGTTGCACCAAGCAACGTTCATTTACCTTCGCTATGAACCCTCATGCACTTTGTCTGCCCCTCAACTCAGAGCCATCTGTATATACAATCACATCACCTGGGCTGGAATTTTTATGAATCATTTGTTGAACTTCTGATTCTGCAGCAAGTGATTAGAACACTACATATGTCTGAAACATGATTGGACACTCTGACCTACTTCTCTCCTTGCCCAAATTTATCAAGCCTGCACACATGTCCAATTGTGTCTTCAGCTTGCGCCATCCAAGACCTTCCTCTTTTCAGTCTATGACCCTTAGCTCTATCATGTATCACATAAATACTACTGGGGTATCTTTTGTACATCCCAGAATTACCTGCTTGGCTTCATTCTGTATGCGTTCAAGTTTCATCAGCTGACTCTTTGATACGGCAAGCATGCAAAGTCCATAACCTATCACCAACAGGATCACATGCTGGAACATTGTGAACAACATTCTTTGTTCATGTCCATTGCTGCCATAATCTTGAGAGCATCGAGTCCTTTGGCATTTCACTGCAACTGCCTCCACATGATCCCTGAAGGACAGGCTTCTTTTGAAAATGATCCCCAAGTACCTCAGTTTGCGTTTTGTTTTTGATGTTACTGTTATCAACTTGTGAGCTACATGTCCCCTATCTCACCCCCCACACCTATATGCAAAAACATCATCGGCAAATGTCAATATCCTTCCAACACCTGGTGATTCAAGTTCTGCAATCTTGTTTGCATACATATTAAAAAGCACTGGTGACATTGTAGAACCCTGGGTTAGTCCCGGGCGATATTACATGGTTCCGAGGTCCAGGTACCAGGCGAAGGGCAACCATATGTGAATGCAGGACAGCTGCTATCCAGTTCACAAACCATGGACAAACCCCCTTCTCCATGAGTGCAGAAATCAAAATATCATATTTGATTCTACTGTAGGCATTCTCAAGATCAAGTGCTGCCACAACTGTCTCTTGTCTGTTCTGGAACCCCTCATAAACATCAAAAGCAAAAGTAGCTGCATTTGACCAGGTATCTTTCCGTGGCCGGTAACTACCCAAACCTTTCGGCAAGAGCTCTCCCCTTTCCAAAAATATTTGTAGTTTAACAACAATAATCCTCTCTTAGCACCTTGCAGAAAGTATTCTGTAGGGTGATAATCCTGAAACCGCAGTCTGGAATGATCTTTGCCTGGTTTTGGAACTGGCTCTACGTGATTCAAATATTTCTGGACAGCTCTGATCTGTAAATGACTGTATGACATGATTAGAATATTTTCTCTGCTAAGTCTTATCCTCTTCCTCCAGTTATCTCAGCAAAGTGCTGGAGGAGATTTAAAGATCTTTGGTGGGCTTCTTGTGCATTGCATAACTTGGTATTTATGTCTTTAAGGCTGTTTTTGATGCCATTGTTCCATTTGTAAACTGTTCCCCTTTGCTCAAAGTTCATTATATTTTGTCAACACTGTTCTCAGTTGCAGCTGGTGCCAGGGCATTCATGTCAGATGACCAAACCATCTTATCTGTTTCCCTGTATGATAGGTTCATAACAAAAAAAAGTTTTTTTTTTTTTTTTTTTTTTATGAAGCTCTTCTCTGACCTCTAATTTGTTATGACTTTTCTCTCATTATCTGTCATAAGGCTCCATATTTGACACTGGCAGCATAATTGACCACAAAGTTGCTTCTTTTTAAACTTGATAGAGGTTATCTTTTTAAATTTGATAGACAGGTTATCTTTTTAAATTTGATAGACATGTTATCTTTTTGTGTCAGAAGTGGTGTTAGCTGTCCTATTACCCGATTTTTCTTTTTTTCCAACTAAGGTAAAAAAAAAAACGAGTCAAAATATGTAGGTTAACTTATCAGTTTTATACTGGCATTATCCCCCCCCCCCCCACCCCCATTTTTAAACATGGTTTCCTACCTAGAAGATTCATGCTGGTGGCAAAAGGATCACTGCCAACTGTACTGCGTGTTCTGAATCTTTCTATGCTGGCGCTTGGGCCTCTGGTCCGTGACGATCCTTATTTTTAAGATCTGGGCCCCCTTAATAAAGTCTAGCATCATATGCCCGATATGCCATTAGCGTGAAAAGGCACTCCATTATTTATTATGTTTTTACTTTATAACGTCAACTAACAAGCGAATGAATAATCCATCAATATAAATATATACTTTTTACATCTTTTATATAAACTCTTAAAAACTTGGATTAGATGATTGCCAATCCCACTTTTTATTTTTTGGCAATCCTAAAATACTGCTATATGTGATGAATCTCCCTCGACAGCTCGACTAGCATCTATGACCCTAGCATGCAAAGGAAACCACAACAGCTACAGGCAATGATACTTCTGCGACTAAACAACATCTATGACCCCAGCATGCAAAGGAAACCACAACAGCTACAGGCAATGATACTTCTGCGACTAAACAACATCTATGACCCTAGCATGCAAAGGAAACCACAACAGCTACAGGCAATGATACTTCTGCGACTAAACAACATCTATGTAATATCAGAGTGTATACTTTTTGGTGAGTCATGGCTGCTATCGAAGCCCGCAAATGTTTCTGCTCGCTTGGGGATCGGGGTGGCGATGAAAGTATTGCTGTGATGTTCGCCAACGCTGCTGACACTGCGACTCAGCTGGGTGCCAGACCCTTGAAGGATTGTTGTCAGACGAGATGCTGTGAGAATGATTTGAACATCACACATCAATCAACCAAGGCTGACAACATGAGTACTTTTTAAATTGATGTTGGAATTTTAAAAATATCACTGATTATGACCAAATCTGGACAGAGATTACTGCCATATTCTGATGAGATTATTTCTGAAACAAATTTTATAGACTTTCTTATGCCTTTTCAAAATTAAAAAATCCCAGGAAAAGACTGTACTATAGACATGTCTAATAATTATAGTTTACCAAGAATAACAGGAATACATAATCAAAGTTAAATGTATAAATGTGGACTGAGTGCAGAAAATCAATTAGCCATGAAAATGAATTACATTAATTAGAAAAATCTTACAGAGATATAAATAAGAACAAAATACGACGAGCAAAATCAAGAGCTATCCCACAACCAACAAATCCCTTACATTGGAAGTCAGAAAAAAAAATCTTCTATCTTATAAAGAAGTAGTTGAAACCAATGGTTGAACATCTAGTTAAACATCTTAGAAACAAATGGTTGAACATCTTAGACAATTAGTGAAAAAAAAAAACCCAAACTCCTGGAGTCTCAGAGATGTGGTTCTCTGAGAAAACTGAAAATTCCTTAGAAGCCAGAATGAGACCTTTGAAAATATAACTGATCACAAACACCAGAGAGAATCCATCATTATTTTGTAAGCTACATTATGATAACAGAAAAAATCTGAACATATGACAAATGAAATGATTTACAAAATGATACACAGAAGATAGCAAGTTTTATTTCCTGGCAGCCTTTCTGTTGGCACAGCCATAGGACAGCATACACACTGAGATATGCTAGGGGAGCTGGCCAGAATTATTATGCCTGAACGCCTAACTCAGTTAGCAAAGTATATGGCGATAAAATAAAAACACATTTTTATTACACTTTAAGAACTAAAAAAAAAAAAAATACATTTACTGACATGAAGATTAAATCAGATAAATATGTCAACAACCAACTATGTAAAGGTCATCAAAGCAACCAATGAGATGGCAGGTGCTGGGGGGTGCTCACAGAGTGGAAACAATGAGATGTTCTTGGCCACACCCAAGTCATTGTTTGCTTCAGTAAAACAGTAGTTATGTCTGCTTCTGCTCATGATGCGTCCAATATATATCACCATCTTCTTTTGTCTTATAACTTGAGACAAGCGGGTGTCCAGACATTTCTGACACTATCACCACCAACTTTGTCTTATAACTTGAGACAAGCGGGTGTCCAGACATTTCTGACACTATCACCACCAACTTTGTCTTATAACTTGAGACAAGCGGGTGTCCAGACATTTCTGACACTATCACCACCAACTTTGTCTTATAACTTGAGACAAGCGGGTGTCCAGACATTTCTGACACTATCACCACCAACTTTGTCTTATAACTTGAGACAAGCGGGTGTCCAGACATTTCTGACACTATCACCACCAACTTTGTCTTATAACTTGAGACAAGCGGGTGTCCAGACATTTCTGACACTATCACCACCAACTTTGTCTTATAACTTGAGACAAGCGGGTGTCCAGACATTTCTGACACTATCACCACCAACTTTGTCTTATAACTTGAGACAAGCGGGTGTCCAGACATTTCTGACACTATCACCACCAACTTTGTCTTATAACTTGAGACAAGCGGGTGTCCAGACATTTCTGACACTATCACCACCAACTTTGTCTTATAACTTGAGACAAGCGGGTGTCCAGACATTTCTGACACTATCACCACCAACTTTGTCTTATAACTTGAGACAAGCGGGTGTCCAGACATTTCTGACACTATCACCACCAACTTTGTCTTATAACTTGAGACAAGCGGGTGTCCAGACATTTCTGACACTATCACCACCAACTTTGTCTTATAACTGTTGACGCAAGCAGTTGTTAAGACATTAGGACATATGGTATTCACATTAATTCTATGAGCACCGATCAACACCTACGACCTTAATGCACCCTGGCGTAATGCACCCTGGCGTATGAAAGAAGCAATAAAGTAAGCATGGGTAGGCTATAGATGAACTCCACAATCTAAATACAAGTAGGGAAATATGAGAGAGATCAAATAATGAAACACATTACCTTCCTGCATTGCTGCATGCACAATCTCCACAGATTCGTTAAAATTGACAATTTCTTGAGAGTTTGGTCGCTGTAAACACATCAAAAGATTTCATCTATTTAACACAACAGCTTTCATATTAAATAAATAGATTACCAGATAACCAGATATTAAATAGATTAATTCATGAGCTTTAATGTTATTGGAATAGGTATGATATATCACATTTTTCTATTTATAAGACCCAATTTAAAACTTAAATGAAAATGGAGAAAAAAATAATCATATACATGAAAGGGTAAGGGTAAATCCATTATAATCTGGTTTGGTTCGTAAAGGATCAATTTCAAAGCGATCAGATATCTTTATCCCATTTTTAAGTGGTGCTAACTCGCTACTGAAAGGATGGACTTCTGTATATAGGTTTGCTTGTTTGTATGAATGTTGGTATTAACACAAATTTAACAGTTGCAGAAACTGACACAGAAACTATCATACTTGTCTGTTTACGAATGACCAGAATATCTTTTCAGAATCAGTCTGAGTCTACAATAGGAAAAATATCTACTTGTAAAATTCTGGATTAGCCCTGTCAGTCACAGAAGACTGCAGCAGACACACAAGAGAAATAACAACCATACTATGAACAAATGTTATTATTACTTTCAAAAAGGAAACATATACAGTGTTCTGTATATTAAAATATCTTGCAAGAATTCTAAGTTTTGCAACAATAATACAAACACATCATTGTAACGGCGCTGATCTCTTAACTTATGTTGATATCATTTCATTAGTTCTCTGTGTACTGAAGGTGATTCTAACTGCTGTGGCCTGGTTTTTCAAAAGAATGCCTACAATTCCTTGGACAGCCAGCAACCCAGATATTTTTAAACCAGCGGGAGCTCAAAAACAACTTATCAATAAAGGATAGGTATGCAAGGTATTTTGGTCACAAAACAATTTACCAAAAAAAGAATAATTGATGGCCAAGTTGAAGGCAAAAGTGCCAGAGAACATGAAGAAAACAAAAGGTCAGCCACCACAGAGGTATCAGAATACAGCCTTAGCTGTTGGGCACTGAAGACTTGGGAGAGAGAGAGAATGTCTGTGGTTTGGCCATGTTATGAGAAGAGGGAAACTGGAACATGTTATGACCACCGAAATGATTGTGGAAAGACAGAAAGAGGAAACAATGTGAATACATTCTTGACAGCCTGCTGTTTGTCATGGTGGGGTGTCAACACAGGAGTTGATACCCTCTGTTGGAGACTGCAGGTTGTCATGGTGGGGTGTCAACACAGGAGTTGATACCCTCTGTTGGAGACTACAGGTTGTCATGGTGGGGTGTCAACACAGGAGTTGATACCCTCTGTTCGAGACTGCTGTTTGTCATGGTGGGGTGTCAACACAGGAGTTGATACCCTCTGTTGGAGACTGCTGTTTGTCATGGTGGGGTGTCAACACAGGAGTTGATACCCTCTGTTGGAGACTGCTGTTTGTCATGGTGGGGTGTCAACACAGGAGTTGATACCCTCTGTTGGAGACTGCTGTTTGTCATGGTGGCGTGTCAACACAGGAGTTGATACCCTCTGTTGGAGACTGCTGTTTGTCATGGTGGGGTGTCAACACAGGAGTTGATACCCTCTGTTGGAGACTGCTGTTTGTCATGGTGGGGTGTCAACACAGGAGTTGATACCCTCTGTTGGAGACTGCTGTTTGTCATGGTGGGGTGTCAACACAGGAGTTGATACCCTCTGTTGGAGACTGCTGTTTGTCATGGTGGGGTGTCAACACAGGAGTTGATACCCTCTGTTGGAGACTGCTGTTTGTCATGGTGGGGTGTCAACACAGGAGTTGATACCCTCTGTTGGAGACTGCTGTTTGTCATGGTGGGGTGTCAACACAGGAGTTGATACCCTCTGTTGGAGACTGCTGTTTGTCATGGTGGGGTGTCAACACAGGAGTTGATACCCTCTGTTGGAGACTACAGGTTGCCATGGTGGGGTGTCAACACAGGAGTTGATACCCTCTGTTGGAGACTACAGGGTGTCATGGTGGGGTGTCAACACAGGAGTTGCTTCCCTCTGTTGGAGACTGCAGGTTGTGGAGAGAGAAGATCCCCAACACCAGTCGATAAGGCCTTTGATGACAAGGTTACTATCATTCTTCTTATTCTCTTTTTATCATATCACTGATACCAGTTTGTAGCCCAGTGTCGCAGTTTTCTGTATTGTCTTGTGCTTCTCGTGTGGCTTGAGTGTTGGATTTGTTCATCTTTCTGCAGTTTTCAGCCACACCATTTATCCATTTGGTTTTTGGTCTTCCTCTCGCCTTCCTCCAAGATGTTCTGCTTTAAAAATCTCATATACTGTCACTGCCAAACTGCCAATGCAAAAAATAAAAAACATCATGTAGTCCCATCTCCATTGTGAATACTGCCATCACTGAACCACAGACATTCTTTCTCCCAAGCCTTCAGTACCCAACATCTAAGGCTGTATTCTGATATCTCTATGGTGTCTGATCTTTCATTATCTTGACGTCCTCTGGCACTTTTGCCATTAACTTAGCCATCAATTATTCTTTTAGATAAATTGTTATGTGACCAAAATACATACCCATCTTTTCATTTTTATTTCCATCTCCTGTCTACTGAAGATCCACCTTTCAAAACCCTCAAATATATGCTCTTCTTCTCAGACACTAACCCCCTCCTCTAACAAAGAAACAAGCAAATACAATGCAAGTGAGAAAATCAAAGTGGGTACATACAGATCCTGCTTCACTGCGAGGGGTAGACAACTCCATCAACTCAAACATCAGTTTGCTCTTTTCATCACAGCACTCTCTGATAGCTTCATCCTTCTGGTGAAGTTGCTCTGTAACACAGCAGTAACACAGGTAATCATCAAACAGTAATCATAAGCCAGACAGAAACTAAGCAGAGAAATATTACAGCCAGTGCAGGAATACATTACAGACACTCTGAATATTCTTAACACAAAATAAATGTTCAAGGGCCCTGAAAATATTTTGATATTAAAAACAAATGACACTGCCCATGTCTGCTGAAAGACCTTTAACAGTCTACTTGCCTATAAAACTAGGGTTTGTTCATGCAGTCCCTGGATGGTTCAACACCCAAGCTTGAGGATGTATTCTATGACTGCAGGTTTGAGACAGCTCTTTACTAACCACTTGACCACCTATTGCTCACTAAAATAATACAAGTAGCCCACCCATGTGTTTGTATAATGTGAATTCAATAAGTGAAGCTATCAGTTTATAGTGTGATTTCAACAGCTGAAGCTAATACATATAAGTTTATAGTGTGAATTCAACAGCTGAAGCTAAATATAAATTTATAGTGTGAATTCAACAGCTGAAGCTAATACATATAATTTATAGTGTGAATTCAACAGCTGAAGCTAATACATATAAGTTTATAGTGTGAATTCAACAGCTGAAGCAAAATATAAATTTATAGTGTGAATTCAACAGCTGAAGCTAATACATTTAAGTTTATAGTGTGAATTCAACAGCTGAAGCTAAATATAAATTTATAGTGTGAATTCAACAGCTGAAGCTAATACATATAAGTTTATAGTGTGAATTCAACAGCTGAAGCTAAATATAAGTTTATAGTGTGAATTCAACAGCTGAAACTAATCCATATAAGTTTATAGTGTGAATTCAACAACAGAACCAAACCTTTTTTTGTTTTAAACTTTAGACAGTATAAAAATCTAGTCAACCTCTGATTACAGTATAAGCTATTTATGAGACAACCTAATCCACTGATGTTTAGTTTAGTTTAAACGTTACCCCCCTAACTTTGCTTTGCATGGACGACTGACAGAAACTAATACAAGCTGAGAAGGATGCAGGCAAGTTTCTCTGTTTACAGTATCAGCTCAACAGAGAAATCAGGAGAAGCTAAGACAAGGATGCAGCGTGTGTCTCTGACCCTAACGATGGATGCGGTGCATTGATAGTTAAGTTCATGCTCTGATGCGGATTCATTTACCTAGGCCACCAACTCTTTCAGACATCCAACAGTTAACTAACAAGTCTTGCACTGTTAACTGGTGGTTTTTGTTGCAACATAGAAACATAGAAACCTGAAGCTCAAGGCTGTTCAGCTGTCTGGAGAAACGCACAATTTAATTCTTATAACCTACCTATCACAATAGACATACTCATACAGTAGTGTGTGGGCGTATGGCCTGTGAGGAATCAGCATATGAGTTTGGCAATTATAGATGCAGTCTGTGCGCTTATGTGTGTGTGGATGGCCAAACTGTATGTGTGCGTCCATCACATAAAGTAGGTGAGGAAATATTGCAAATGAGTAAATCATGAAAGGATGTGTTTTTGGCAGTGATTAGCCTACTTGGTTACCAACAGTGTAGTGCCAGTTTAATCCCTACAAGCAACACATAAACTAGCTCTGGGTTGACTCATGCCTTACCAACAAACAAACAAAACAGTCTGAATAGTTTCATAACTAACAGGAAACTGTATCATTAAGAAAAAGCAACTAGGAAGAAATTCAGTTACCCTACATTATTTGATAACCTAGTACATGTGAGGGCCTACAGTTGTCATTTCTATGGTAGGACCTGATTTGCAATTACTAGATTCTTACTATTTGAGGATCACTGGAACATAACCCACACATAACCCATAATTGAGACCCCATCCATGCATAGGCCACATCATATTGAAGTTGCTAATGTGCTGCACAAAATAGACAGTATTATGAAAGTCACAAAGAAAAAACAATTTGAACTGTAAGCAGCAAAGTGAACTGTAGGTTTTGAACCCCACATTTTAAGCATGCATAGCAAATTTCTATGCTAGGTCTGGTCTATTATGCAAATAAGTGTCAGTTAGACTTCACAGTTGGAGTGCATCTGCCTGGGAGGCAATGAACCAACAGTTTGCATACACATAAGCCAGATCTGTAAAATGCATGTGCAAGTAAAACCCATGTTTTGGAACAGGAGCAAAGTTTAGAATTGGACCAGAACTCTCGAATTTTCAGCCACTGAACACTGACAAGAAATTAAATAAATCTGGGGTCTATATGTAGCTTGATGTTTACCTCCTAGCTTGGATGTCTTGGGTTCAATTTGCAACCATGCAGATTTTTATAATTGACCTAAGACTCCCATGTCGACCAGCAGCATAACGCTGACCATATTGAGTGCCAACTGGTCTTTAAAAATCAGTGACCTAGCACAATACTCCTGATGCACCAATAGCATGAAAAGGGGTTCTTTTATTTTCCTTACCTTTTTTACTGTACAAATGTACTCAGTTTCAAACCTATTTATGCCCTTTTATTTTCCTTACCTTTTTTACTGTACAAATGTACTCAGTTTCAAACCTATTTATGCCCTTTTATTTTCCTTACTTTTACTCACAATTGTACCCAATTTTAAACCTATTTATGCCCTTTTATTTTCCTTACATTTACTGTACAAATATACCCAGTTTCAAACATATTTATGCCCATTTATGTTCCTTACTTTCAATGTACAATTGTACCCAGTTTTAAACCTATTTATGCCCTTTTACTTTCCTTAATTTTACTGTACAAATGTACTGTTTCAAACCTATTTATGCCCTTTTATTTTCCTTACTTTTACTGTACAATTGTACCCAGTTTTAAACCTATTTATGCCCTTTTACTTTCCTTAATTTCACTGTACAAATGTACTCAGTTTCAAACCTATTTATGCCCTTTTATTTTCCTTACTTTCGCTGTACAAATGTACTTACTTATGACAAGGGTAGACAACTTGACCGCACTGAGATTACCAACAACAACAACATTAAAACGATTATTTCCCCCTGGTACTTCCCACCCATTACTCACCTATGATTACTTTGACTTGGTTGGCATGCTCCTCTTTCCTGCGTTTCTCCTCCTCATTGGATAAAGCTAGTCCAGGATTGGTGGGCGGCCAGAGCTCAGGCTCTACGTCTGGTGGGCAGGCTCTGATGGCATCCTGCAGGATCCTGATCCACTCCTCCCTCTCCACCTTGCTCTGACAGACCAGCTCGTACATCTCCGGGGTCTTGCGGTTCTGGCTGATCATGTAAATTCCCAGACTGTCCTTGGCATCCCTCTTCTCCCTCACCAGCAGATTATGCAATGGGATGACACATGACTGCAAAAACAACAAAGTGGGTAGGGTCATAACAACAGAGACAAATGAGAACCGGGTGTACAAGTGGGTAGGGTCATAACAACAGAGCAAAATGAGAACCGGGTGTACAAGTGGGTAGGGTCATAACAACAGAGACAAATGAGAACCGGGTGTACAAGTGGGTAGGGTCATAACAACAGAGCAAAATGAGAACCGGGTGTACAAGTGGGTAGGGTCATAACAACAGAGTGGGTAGGGTCATAACAACAGAGACAAATGAGAACCGGGTGTACAAGTGGGTAGGGTCATAACAACAGAGACAAATGAGAACCTGGTGTACAAGTGGGTAGGGTCATAACAACAGAGACAAATGAGAACCGGGTAACAACAGAGACAAATGAGAACAAGCAAAATGAGAACCGGGTGTGGGTAACAACAGAGGGTCATAACAGACAGAGACAAATGAGTACCTGGTGTACAAGTGGGTAGGGTCATAACAACAGAGACAAATGAGAACCGGGTGTACAAGTGGGTAGGGTCATAACAACAGAGACAAATGAGAACTGGGTGTACAAGTGGGTAGGGTCATAACAACAGAGACAAATGAGAACCGGGTGTACAAGTGGGTAGGGTCATAACAACAGAGACAAATGAGAACCGGGTGTACAAGTTTCCGCTATCCTGGACATATAAAAAGAAATAAACTCAGAAGGGAAACAGAAGCCAAAAAGATTACAGGAAGGGCTAACAATATTTTCTACAGCGTATGAAAATTGCTGACATCTAGAAATGTAAACAATAAAGGTCAACTACAAAATGAACTGTGCAGGAAACACAGAGTGAAGTTACAAGAATAGGAAGAAAATGAGCGTGATCTAAATGCCACAGCAAAGGATAAGTCAACTTGGCGTGAGTTGGTTGAGGGCCCATGCTCCACTGGGTAAAAAGTGCAGAAGTAGAAGAAGAGACATAAACAACACTATAAAAATGAGAACTGTCAAACGCTAGGTATACTTAACCTTGCTGCATGGTGTAAAGTCTGGGACAGTGAACAAGCAGTAAAAATGTTATATGAGTTTCTTGAGACTTACATATACAGAAGAACAGGTCCTACTTCATAGTATCAAAAAGAAATATCACATACAGAGGTTCTGGACAGACAACCAAACAAACAACAACACCAAAATTGTCGAGGAAACAAAAAATCATATTAATCTGTTTCCCCATAAATCAGACCTAACCCAAAAATAAGCCACAGCTTGGTTTTGCTGGATACTTGTTAGCCACAGGGACGTATTTCTTTCATCCCTAAAACTCACAACAGATTTATTGAATGAATGCACCTTGAAAAAATACTTAAATAAATGTAGAATTTTTTGCTTGAACAGATGCAGCCTCTTGTCCAAGAAAAATAAGACACTCCCTGAAAAAAAGCTAAGACATAAACCTGAAAATAAGCTAAGACATCCCCTGAAAATAAGCTCTAAGGGATCATTTGGAGCAAAAATTAATTTATAAAACAGAAGTTGAAGGCAAGCTAGCAAAAGGCACACATCGACACATGTGGCAGGATAGCACAAAGAGACAGATGACTAACAGTCTGATAGAGTTACACCCAGGACTAATGAGAGAACATACTGGGGATCTACGACTGCCAATCTTCACTGTTGAGAGAGCACTTGACTGAATGTCACAATATAGCAGATAGTAAGTAACATCAGAAGTACACAATTCCAGGTCAATTAAGTTTAGTGCTACAAGGTCAAGGAAGTACTCACAGTGCAGCTGGGACTGGAGTATGGAGTATTGGGGGCTTCAAAAATTCTAGGCCATCATATCTGAGATGGAGTGACTAGATCTGATCTTCATCCCCTTTCCTAGGCAGACAACTTCCAGAAAGGTCTGAAAATTGGCTCCGATCGATGTTTACAATGTTGGATTGACCCCCCAAGCTTTACTGGTTGGAAAAAATAATGCTGCCTCTGCTGAAGATTGAAAGGAGCAGTGCATGAAGTTTGTTAGGGGGCTTATCAATCAGCTTTAGTGATTATTAAAGGTGGGAAAGTTTATCAGCTGTCTTGACTGTTTCATGGAGGAGTTGCAAGACTGGATCTGACACAGCCTCCGTCTCATCTATTCTGTGGACATATTGTCCATGATCTACCCCATGCTTTTTTCTCCACTACTGTCCTCTAAAATTCTCTTCAGGTTTCATCAAGTCTTAGAGTGTGACCAAGCCATAAGTGTCCTCCCTTTAATTAGTATGCAAGGCCTTTTACATTTGATCATACTGCTTAGACTCTCATCAGCTATTCAATCCAGCTAGCTATTGCTGTCCCACCTTTGCTTACAAAACCTGGTACCTATTTTAGGTTAGATTAACACTTCTTTAACAACAACAACAAACTGTGTCCCATCTACACAATGAAGGCTGCACCCACCAGTGTCTTTGAGAACCTATGTGGTGAGGTTCTAATCTCTTCCCCAGAGCGACTCTCATCCAAAATCCGAGATAATAATTTTTTAAAATTAAACAGTACATCATGTCAATCAAACCCTAGTACTTTAAGATAATCAGCCTTATTAGTCATAGTCTGTAAACAAAGTTGTACCTTGTTGTCTTGCATAAGGAAGGTGTATTTCTGCTCATTCTTCTGCAAGAAGACAATGAGGTCTGTGAGAACAACTGCCAGCACATCATAGACCCGGCCTCTAGCACTCTTCCAACCAATCTTCCCACTGTAGATCAGCTCTCTTGTGTCAGAAAGCAAGTCCTGACGCTGTGTGAGGTCAAACGGCATCAATTAGTGGACAGAAACTTCTCAAACTAACACAGACAATGGCCAAACAACTTCACAAACACAACAGGCACCGATATAAGTTTTTCAAAAGAAATTTTGAAAATGGTCACGTTTTAATATATGTATGTGCAAAAGGGTTAAAAATGTCAACATTACTTTACAGAAAATGGGGCTTTTTCTTTGCGCTAAAGGTCTGTAGACTCCAGTGTCCACTTCTGGATTATTGTCTTATTCAAGAACCTGAATCTTGCATGCACATCCATTTCACAGATTTGGCGTATTTGTATGCAGACTGCTGGTTCCTTGCCTCTCAGGCAGAGGCACTTGAACCTTTGAAGGAAACCCCTAACGAGCTGGCTCTTTCACATGCTTGTTGGGGACCAGTGGGTTTAATTCCCCTAGGTCCTGGAATTTCCACAGGGATTTTCATAGTTACAAGTATGACAGTCCATTTACGTTACAGTTACAGACTGTTCGTAAATATATGGCCAAAATTACAGTTACTATACCAGCTTACAAAATTCAGTTCCTATATAAGGTTACAACTATATAGGCTGCTTCTGAAGGTTATAGTTATCACAGTTCCTGTCCATGGATACACATTATTATAATTTGCACATGTTTCCAATGACAGGAACTATGTAAAGTTAGTTATGCAGGTTCCTCTTGATGGTTACAATTATGCCGGTGCTACTAATATTAAGGCCACAAACTGAACAGAAGGATACCCATCTACAGCTCTACAGACCTTGAATTTCTTGTCCTTGAACATGACAGCTCTGGAGTCCATCTTGTTATGAATGTCCATCAGCTTCTCATAAGCAGCCACCTTTTCATCAATGTTCTGAACAACATCTTTGCTCAACAGCAAGGCATGACTCAGGTTCTCTCTGTCCTTTTTGTCTGTTCAGCAGTCACAAATAGCAGGCATGTTAATTACTCAACAAACAGATCATAATTCATAATCTTAACTGTCAAAATGCCATTCTTAACTCAAAGATGTCGTCAGTCCATGTGTTTGTGTGTATCGTCTGACTTTCATATAAATAGAATGTAAAATAGCAAATGTAGCAGTAAGACAAACCAAACAGGAGTATTGAACATACACTGGGCAACGTGTAACTCGACAGGAAACAAGACAAGATGGACCAAGTGAACTAATTATGCCTTTCTTAAAAGACTAGCAAAAATATACAAAATTATTTATATACGATGGTTTGGATGCACTCAGAATAGACAGATGTAGGTCTCAAACACACATACTTCTCATTTAAAAGTGCTGCAATGGTTATTATAGCGTATAAGTCATGTTGGAGCGGAAGGAAATGACCTGTTCTGCTTCTAGGGCAGTAGTATAAGACAAGGGAGATATTCTGAAAACAGTGAACAATGGCCATTTCAAGAGAAATATCAGATGAATTGATCTTTATAAAGTTGCATTAGTTTGGATGAAAGTGTGGTTCTAGAAAAGAGGTATGTTAAGGGAAAGAAACAGATGTGTTTTTATTATGTGACACTGGAAGAAATGGCATCAGTAAACTTGTAGTACCAAATTATGCATGATGCTGACTGAATTCACCTCCGTTCATCTCATTGCAGTAGAAACTGAAGTAGAAAGAGTATGTAAGGTAACAACAACATATAAGAATATGGAAGCCAGCAATAAATGAAGAATATGGAAAATAACAACAAGGGAAGAATATAGAAAATAATAAGGGGAAAATATGGAGGGCAATAAAAGACGATTTTGGAAGAAAACACCAAAGGAACTATGTGAAAACAACAATAAAAAAAGAATACAGAAGGCAGCAATTTATGAATATTGTTGAAGACAACAAGAAAGGTGGAATACAAAAGACAATGACTAAGGAAAAGTACAGAAAGCAGCAAAAAGAAACATTACCTTTGGTGCTCTTGAGAATAGCTTCGATGAGGATTGGATACTTGGACAGCCTGACGGTGACCCCCAGGATGAAGTCAGAGATGTCTCTCTTCTCACAGACTGGCAGGTTGGTGCACTTCTGAAAGTGGATGGCGTCCACAGTTTTACTATACTAGTTAACATACTGAGCAAACTGTGGCTCACCTCCTCCTTGACTGCACAAGCAACTATGGTCATTAACGACTGCACGTACCGTGTTTCCCCGGCAATAAAACTAGTTCTTAGGTTAATTTTTGCTTCAAGATAACCAAAAATCTACATTAATTCATGTACACAAATCTACATTAATTCATGCACACAATTTTACATTAATTCATTTTACAATTCTACATTTAATCATATCTTCTTGTGGAACAATATTGTCATACCTCCCCAAAACCTGAATTTTGGCCTGAATTTCTTGCAACTTCATTTCTTGTAGAACCATTGGCCCTAGTCTCTCCAGTCCAGCACTAAAGCTTTCCACAACAGAGCATTTCTTGTCATCCATGTGGCCTGCTTGTAGTGCATTGGCAGCACAGCCAGCCATCAGCGATTTCATCCCATATGTTTCTCACCCAAGTCACTACCTCCTGCAAATTAGGCTTCACAAAGTTTCCACACTGACTTCTCTTAATTAGATTTTCAATGCAGTCACTGCCACTCAGCAACAAGTCTCTCATTCTAGCTGATGATCTTAACTAAGGATTATTTTTGGGGTAGGGCTTATATTAAATACATCCTGAACAATTGTGCTAGGGCTTATTTCAGGGTGGGTCTTATTTTCAATAGTTAGTACCAGGCAGGTGCAGCCATTATGGGTGCTCCTATTAGAACTTCTCTGTAGGCCAAATGATGTAGAGGTGTTGGGATTCAGATTGAGATTTCATTACCTCAGGGTATCAAATGCTCAGGTGGCCACCCAGCGGAATGAAAAACGGATGATGGTCAGATGTCAAAAGGAAACAATAGTAACAACTACACTAATAACTACTATAACTAATAATAATTAGTATACCGCATTGCTGGTCAGTGTTACTCCTTTTGCTACTTTGACAGCCACTGAGCCTGGTTCTTTAACAAACAAACACATTTTCATGACAGCCCTTTGAAACTCCATAAATCCCCTGAGATTATGTTAACAGAACAAGGGTGGTCTCCTCATGCTTTCCTTATCTGCAACCTCATGAATAATTTCCAGTCAGTGTGGTGTGGCCCATTTGTATTCTCTGTATTCAATGATCATGTCCTGTAATCTAGACCTTGACATTCGATACCCTAGTTCAGATGTCTCCAGGTGTCATTCTACACAGCTGCTCTTATACACTCGATTGTAACAGAAATGAGACAAAGAATGGTAAGTGTTAACTCTCAACTCTTTTAGTCCCAAACAAATCATCAAATGTTTACTGAGTGTGTATATCAGGTAATCTGAGCCCTGACAAGGACTGCACTGATCAGGCTTAGGTTGGCAGAGAGTTTTCTTGATGAGGTATGACAATATTGTTCCACAAGAAGATATATATATATATATATATATATATACATATATATATATATATATATATATATATATATATATATATATATATATATATATATATATATATATATATATATATATATATATATATATATGTATATGTATATATATATATATATATATATATATATATGTATATATATATATATATATATATATATATATATATGTATATGTATATGTATATATGTGTGTGTGTGTGTGAGTGTGTGTGTGTGTGTACGCGCGAGAGAGAGAGAGAGAGAGCGAAAGAGAGAAAGAGAGAGAGAGAGAGACTGAGAGAGAGAGAGAGAGAGATGAGACAGAGAGAGATGAGACTTAGAGAGAGAGAGATGAGACTGAGAGAGAGAGAGATGAGACAGAGAGAGAGAGAGAGACTGAGAGAGTGCTAACCTTCTACTGACCACTCCTCTGCTATATTAACCCTTTCTGTCCAACTCGCAACTGCAACATATTCTGTCAGATAACTACATTATTTCACCCAAACAGATTCAAACATGAGGTCTCTAAATTAGGCAAACTTTGTAACTGAATATGCTGAAGTAACACTTGTCTGGACCTGAGTTAGAGTTCAGGTAATCTGAGCCCTGACAAGGACTGCACTTATCAGGCTTAGGTTGGCAGAGAGTTTTCTTGATGACCTGGTATCAAAGTATTATCTCTGAGGGGACAGTATTACCAAGTTAGTTAAAGCCTTGATTGGTAATGTTTTCAAAGCTGTTTTGAAGGGAAGGTGAAACAAGTCACATATAAATGAAGGCAATGACTTCAACTTCCAAAAAGAAGGCAAACCCCCCCCCCCCCCCCCCCCCCCCCCCCCCCCCCCCCCCCCCAAAAAAAAAAACCCCATCACCTGAAATTTGTGACAATTACCAGTTTACACACAGATTAGAACTATCACCTGGAATTTGAGACAACTAATAGTTTACATCCAGATTGGATCTGTCAAAAGTCATATTCAACTGTCACTTACTTTGGCAAAGGTCTGAAACTTTCTGTTGTCCTTAATCAACTCCTTATAAAGCTGCATTGCCTCGGTGTGTCTTGAGCAGAACACCCCGTACACTGACTTCATCTTGTCAGCAGTACTATCCTGGAACTGTCACACAGAACACACAGCCAGCCATTAGAAGTAATACACAACATTCACAATAGATTATCGTGAATATTTCTTTCTTTGCGTATCCTCTTCAACCCTTCTTTGATATAAATGAAATACTACACAATTAACAAGGTGTCATCTCCACAATGAAGGTTATTTGATATCCAACACACCCTGTCTCTCACCTTATTTGTGCACCCTGACAGTGACTGTTGCTGACTGAAGTCTTTATCTATTCTTCTCACTTGGGATGGGGGGGGGGGGGGGGTGTAAAGAAGGGGAGAGTAAAGACGGGGGCAGGAGAGGATGGGGACGGGGGGGGGAGAGGGGGGGGGGGGGGGGGGGGGGCGGGGAAGGGAAGAGAGACGGCGCAGGAGAGACAAGGAGAAAGAGGAAAGGGATTGGGGGAGGAGGGGGTGGAAAAGGGAAGAGAGAGAGAGAGAGAGATGGGGAGGAAGAGGAAAGGGATGTGGAGAGGGTGGAGAAGGGGAAAGAGAAAGACGGGGGGAGAGACGGGGGGATGAGAGACAGGGAGGAAGAGGAAAGGGATGGGGATGGGTGGGGGGCGGTGAAGGGGAGAGAGAGATGGGGAGGAGAGACAAAGAGGAAAAGAAAAGGGATGGTTGGGATGGAGAAGGGGAGAGAGAGAAACGGGGGAGGAGAGACAGGGAGGAAGAGGAAAGGGATGGGGAGGGGATTACAACGATTCATAATGCATAAGGGTCTCTCAGATGTTTATTGTTAAAACAAAGTGTTCATTTTTACTAGTACTGTTTTACGAAACAAATAATATGAATTCAACATCATCTGAATCATTAACTCTTATTGTCGTATGAAGCTCATAATTTGAATCATTCACACTTATTCTTGTATTCATCAGCTCCATCAACTGAATTATTCACCCTTCATATAACATGAATTTTGTTCTTCTTCACATTCACCAGCTGTCAACTCCAGCAAAGAGTTCTGGTGGTTTGTTCACTTCTGAGCTTAAGTCTTTTCCCCAGAACTTGAGTTTAGTGTGCACATCTGTTTTACAGATGTATCTTATCTGCATGCAGCTTGTTGGTTCCTTGCCTCTCAGGCAGAGGCACTCCAACTTTAAAGGAAACCAATAATTAGCCCACTCTTAACAACATGCTTGTAGGGAGGCAGTGGCTCTATTCTTGTTTTCCCGAAAATGGGACCCGGAACCCACACGGGGAATGAAGCATTTTAAGAGTGATTCACTGAAACTAGGCTGAAGCCCTACCTGATCCACCAAGACATCTCCGACTTCATCCACTGATCTGTCCTCGTTTCTGGCTTGCCTGGTAAGCAGTTGCCGCAAGAAGTTTGCATGAAGCTCTACCAACTCATCCAACCGAGGGAACAGCCTGTCCACTTGGTCTTCAGTGAAGTTCATGTCTCGCAGCATGGACGCAGCAAATATCTGTAACATAAGAATAAAATATAGACACACATAAAAATAACAATAAGTAATTAAAATAAATGTTAATAAAAATTTCACTCATCAAATCATCGACATTGGAGTATGGGTTATTCCTAACTATTTTGTGGTGTCCCAATTTAACTGTGATGTACCAGTGAATGGGGTTTTTGGGTTTTATAGCTGCTTGATTCTTCTCATCACTGAGATGTTAATTCTTAGAGAACGCAAATCTGGAGGGGGGACAACATCATACACATATCTTCTTCTTCTTCTTCAGCATTCCGAGCCCTTGAGGTTCATTGCTGCTGATATCCCCCGCCTGCCCTCATCTTTCTGGTTAGCCTTCTCCCTTCATGGTGACACCAAGTGTTTTTTAGGTCTGTCTGGACATTATCTCTCCATCGTCTCCTTGGTGGGCCTTGTGGTTTACAACCATTTGGCCCCCTTGTGTATACAGTTTCTACCTCTCTGTGATCTGATGTTCTCTCAATATGCCCCAGCCAAGATGCCAGTGATCAATGGTGGTTTAAACAGATCATGAATTTTGTTGTTACACATATAATTTATCCAAATGATAACCCAACAGAACTGAACAGGATATGATATGGGTTAGGTTCACATGCAAATTCCAGGGCCTCATTGGTTGGGGCGAGAAGGATAGGCCCACTGAGGGTCCATATACGTTTTGCTTTTGTAATGAAGCAGAATAGAATCAAGAAACTCTTCATACCTTTTGCATAATCTTCAACCTCTTCACATACTGTTTCTCTGTATTGATGAGTTCTGTAGAAGGCAAATAAGGAAGGCCAATTATAATAACATTTGAGTTTTCATTGTCTTAACTGGTTGTTAGGCCAATTAATACAAAATGTTATGTCAACAAACTATTTTATGAAGTTTTGACAAACAAGTTTTACACCAGCTTTTGACAATCATCTATTAAATGTTATGACAACCAATTTCACATTAAGTTATGCCTTTTAATTTCCTGTTATTAATATACTTGTTATATTAAACAGTAATGTGCTGGGATAAACATAATAAATAACATTCTCTCTTACTCTCTTTATCTCATTCATTCAATCTCTTCTCTTGCTCACTCACTTATTCACTCTCTCTCACAATCTCTTTTCTCTCACGCATTCTTCTCTCTCTCACTCACTCATTTCCATGCATTCATTCACACATTAAAACTAACACAAACAGTTGCCAAATTACCCCAAATTGTATCCTGTCGCTTAATATCCTTGGTGCTGAGTTTCTTCAAAGTCTGGAAATGAATCAAACATAAACATAAATGTCTACTTTAAAATACAATCTGCCTACTTTTAGCTCATCAATACATAAATAATATATGCACCTATTTTATCTCATAATTAAATACCCTAGTGTTTCCTGTTATTTTATAAGTGCATACCTATAAATATATGAGTACCTGACAAATATATGTGTAGCTTATACACACATAAGTGTCTACTTTATCTAATAAAAGAAAACAATTTCTATCTAAGAAACACACACATAAGTGTCTACTTTATCTAATAAAAGAAAACAATTTCTATCTAAAGAAAACACACACATAAGTGTCTACTTTATCTAATAAAAGAAAACAATTTCTATCTAAGAAACACACACATAAGTGTCTACTTTATCTAATAAAAGAAAACAATTTCTATCTAAGAAACACACACATAAGTGTCTACTTTATCTAATAAAAGAAAACAATTTCTATCTAAGAAACACACACATAAGTGTCTACTTTATCTAATAAAAGAAAACAATTTCTCATCATTCATACATTATTTCATTCTATGACTACTGTTCATGTCATTGCTTAACAGCAAACATAATTATCAAATAATTAGACATACCTGGCACATTCATAGAATCATTTAAGAGGTGTTTTAACAATTATAATAAAAGTTAAAGTATCTTCTTCGCGTTCACCAACTATAATCTCCAGCAACACGTTCTGATTGCTTGTCCACTTCCGGATTACTGGTCTTGTTCCAGAACCTGAGTTTTGCGTGCACATCTGTTTCAAAGATCTTGCTTATCTGTATGCAGACTGTTGGTTTTTTTACTCTCAGGCAGATACACTGAACCTTTAAAGGAAGCCCCCCCAATTAATCGACTCCTACGACATGCTTTTTGGGGAGGCAGTGGGTCTATTCTAGTTTTCACAACAACGGGACCCCAGGGCCCACAAGAGAAATAATCAAAATATGATGACCATGACAACAACATTGAAGAAAGGTGAGCAACTAGATGACTCAACACAAAAATGGCGGACGCCAGGCTGGTAACTGACCTTCCGATCCACTGTAATGCTCCATGCCTCAGGTTCGTCAATAGCCAGTTGTAAATCTGGTTCATCGTCCAACCAGGAGATTTCTGATGGAACCACTGAAACACAGAACAATTTAAAACTAACAAACATTAACACAAAACATTCTTAAAAAAAAAAAAAAACAGAGGGCAACAAATGTTAAAATAAACAAAAACATACAGCATCTGACAAATAACTTACAAAAAAAAAAAAACCCATTTAACTTTAAACTAATGACCTACAACATAAATATTTTAAAATAAAAACCCCTATGCACTGACTGAAAATACACATACCAAAATCAGGTGACTGCGATAAATTGTCACAAAATTCAGAGCAGCTCAGGTAATTATCAGGTACTTCATATAACTTTGTTGTTGTTATGTCGTATAATCTATATAAATAAAATGTTATTGTTTGTTTGTTATTAATAGCTAATCTTTCAAAGCTCTTCACAAAGTTCAAAAGGGACCTTCTTTTGACGTAGAATACTACATCTTCTCCTCCCTATGTCAGTAATCTCACAATGAAGCACAGCCCCCTCCACTAACTCAGAGAAAGCTGTTCCTCTGTTTCCATCTCCTGCAGCTCCTTCCACATCCTCCCCATTTCATCAAAATACATCTCTAATTCTCCTCTATGTGTAATTTTGGGTCTCCTAACTGCTCTGCCTTACGGGTTCCAGCAAAGAAACATTCTACTAATACTTTTGTCAAGTGTTCTTCTCAATGTATGTGATATCCAATGGCAGCATCTTTTCCTCATCTGTTGATTCACTGAAATCTGTCCTCTCACAAATCACTACTGATTATATAAAACCATTGTAGTCCATCTATTTGGTGGCACAAGCACCACTAGATAAATGTTCTTTTTCTTCTTCTGCATTCACCTTTAAATGGATTGTTGGCAAGTTGTGTTGTGGTTTACAGCTAGGCTGTGATATCTTCCCCTTTTGACTCAACATATCAAATTTCAGCAATTTCCTAATTAGTTGCCTTTTATGACACGCTTGTTAGGGAACAGTTGGTCTATTATTTTGTCTCAAAATGGGGCTCGGTGCCATCAAGGACTTAATGAATAACAGATCTACTAGACTTCAGGATAAAATATCAATGTCTACAGTGACTTGGGAAGACCAACACTGAACATTAAACTCTACCTGCATCCAAGGATTCCATGGACTCAGAGATGGTGTCTGTCATGCTGAAAGACACAAACAAACATCATCAATCAACTAACAACATTATAAGCAACCAGTTTCCATTCTATCCCTGTCAAGTGTTTATGTTATAAGTCTACAAAAGTGTCTCTTTGGCTGTGACTGTTGTTATCGCCACTTTTAAGGGTGGTTAGATGAAGGTGGGAGTTTGTATGGTAAGTACCTTGCGAGTCAAAGAGTTAACTCTCTCAGTCTCACCCAGCAACTACTTAAACTTATTCTATCCCTAAGAGTTTCTTTCAAAGAAGGTCGTATGTGGGTCATGAGTGGTTAAAATAATAACTCGGTGACAGAATTACCTGTAAAACAATTCAGTTACAAAAAGTTTATTAGGCAAATGATGGTTACCAAGGAAAAGACAGTTATACAAGTAGCTTTTCTATGGACTTTCCTATGGACGCACAGAGAGTGGCCTAGTACTGCAAGAGTTAAAGAAATCAAAACACATTTACCCACCACCTCATTACAGATCTGGAAAGCTGTACAACCATGCCCTTTTAATTTCTGCCACCCACATATTCCCCACCAGCGAGTTGAAGAATTCAAACTGAAATATGAGGATGTCACTGATGCTACAGATTTCTCTTTAAAAAAAAAAAAAAATACATATATAAATATATACCCAACATCGGAACTGGTGTCACTATCCATTGTGTCAATGTCCCTGTGAGTGCAGAGTTGGGATTCTAGCAGCGAATTCCTTAAATTATAAGAGCGACGATGTTTCCTAAAGCTGAGTCGAGCCATTCTATCCAGGCTCATGGCCCGCATCTCATTTATGTTGAGTTTTCTGGATAAGGCCAGTGCTCTTGTTGGGAAAACCAAGTGGCGTGTTTCAGTGTATGTACAGACGTGCTCACATGAACATGTTATCTAGTCCAGTCATCATTTACACACAAAAAAATAATTTCCGTTTTCCAGCCACTTGAATGTTTCTATGTATGGGCATAACGGATGGAGAGAGAGGGACACAGAAGACACCTCTCATTATTAATAAGAGAGGCAATAACGTGCTTCACTTGTGGGGCTGGAGAGTCAAGTGTTGCCCACTTGTACAGTCGCTGCGTTGTGCAGAGTCAGCCCAACACGAGTTGTCTTTCACTTTCAGCACTGTCCCAGGATATAATCAGCAGAAATTACCACCATGAAAACCCACAACAGAATGACTGCTTTCCTCTCAGGACCACGGTCATTTCAACAAAATTATGGGATCCTAGACAAAGCACCGTGCTGCTGCCCTCTACAACAACCACTCATAGGAATGATATTTTGTATTGATGGCAAACCACCGTCTCGACATACATAGATCGGCATGCGGACCCTGTCCCCCCAAGCGTGAAGACGGAGCTGCTCGGAGGCTGTCACCTTAGGGTTGGACACTGGTGACACTACGGGTTGTAAAATGCGACCACCACAGACTTAAGATTCCCTGATCAGCGGTTTAACAAAGTTATGATCAGAACGTCTGTTGCGTATGAAGGGGCACACAGACTGTCCCATGTGTCATCACTGAGGGGCGTGACAAAATAGCAAAATTAGGTTTTTACCACTAAAAATGTTTGTAACCGGGGGAGGTGGGGGGCTGTACATTTTCCTCACCGCGTACCACCTGACCTTGCTATGCTACTGATCCGCAGTTCTGGTAAAGTATCTCCAACCTTTACTGCGGAGATGACACTGCAAGAGACAAAACAATCATATGCTTGTGCGTGGTTATATAAGAACGGTAGAGGAAAATTGTTCGGCTCATTACTGTGAGCTGTAGAATGCAGCACTGCCGGAAATTTGGATATAACATCCACTTGTTCAAACCAGCAAAGCCAGACAACACGTCTTTCTTGGCGCGTCTGCACCAAAACTCTCACGGCCTGAAACCCAAACAAAGGGGAGACAAGCGTCGCCGTTTTGGGAGCTATCACAAAACTCCCAGCAGACGTGGTTGGCTGAATATATGTATATAAATGCCAGGATTGTTCCACACCCGAAACATATTTATCCGTTACTTTATTTGTGTGAGGAGGGGCAGCAAAGGATAGAAGCGGGTAAAAGGAGGGCACAAACAAGTAGGAAGTGAATGGCCTCTCCATTATCTATCTACTGTCGGGTCGCGAGAGAGAGAGAGAGAGAGAGAGAGAGAGAGAGAGAGAGAGAGAGAGAAGAGAGAGAGAGAGAGAGAGATTTATTCCAGGCAACACATGACATTACCAAACAGAACAGCGTAATAAATATACGACCCCATGTACATTCACCTTGCTCCCGATGACCTTTCACCTGGTTACAGGCGGGATTTGAGGACAGTTTGAGGTCTACTTCTAACTCTTATCTCTGTTTCTTTCTACGAGTGCCAATCAGTGCATGCAAGTTTATTAAATAACTCTTGTTGCTGATGTAGTCATCGTCAGCATGTGCTGCAGCGATAAACCTGTGTGGCTATGGTTCAGCAACACACAAGATTACCAGTCTAGGATCAGGTCTGTGTTTTTTTTTAAACTGATGATGATGCCGTGTGGTCAAGTCATCAAGATATTTTTCTCTGTCTTTTCTCTGCTGGGAGCCTAATATGAATGGCAAGACGCTGGCCTGAGGACCCCAAGATCGTGCGTTCAGGTCTTGACGCAGTTCGGACCCCCCCTCCCCCTCCCCAAAAGTCTTGACTCCCAGGTCGACCCAGCCTTGAAGAGGTACCACGTGAAGTTTTGGGAAGAACGTCTATAAAATATAGGTCTAGCCCAATACGCATGAAGGAATGAAAAAGAGTTGTTTACTTTCTTTTGCTATTTTCCCGCCAAGTTTGCTAGAAATTACTAAGTTTTCCAGCCTATTTTTCTTCATAATTTTTGCAATCGACTTCTTTTAGCGTCTAATGTCTCCATCCCCTTAGAGATTTAATGTTAAAAACAAAGATCTGCCTCACTCCGTTTGCCATTGTATTTGGAGCATGTGCCACATAAACCAGGCTTTCACCAACATTAGACGTCCCTCGGCTTGTCTGCTACTATGCTGCAGTAGCCTAGCAGAGAGACACCTTCCATGTTAATTAGCGGACGATGATGTTTTATTTAAAAAAAAAAATTATGACACACTTTTCTGTCCACGGTCTCTTACCTCCACACATCTTTCTCTCTATCTCACACACATACACACACAGAGAGAGGGAGAGAGAGAGGGGGGAGAGAGAGAGAGAGAGAGAGAGAGAGAGAGAGAGAGAGAGAGAGAGAGAGAGAGAGAGTGAGAGAGAGAGAGAGTAATGCCGAATTCTGACCAGCCTCAGATCGCAGTTAACCCCCTTTCCGGCTTTACAATGATTGTTTTGTCAGGTGGAGCTAATGAATAACGTCGTGAGGATTCTACAGAGTTAAGTCTAAGTCTAGACTTGCTTGGCTAAACATATCTAACACAGAAGCAGTGAAAATAAGCCAGAACTGAGCAGGTTGTTTAACAAGTATTTCAATCAGAGGGAGATACCAATAATAAGGCATGAGTTGGTTATTGTAACAAGTGTTCGGGACTATCGTAAACTCCACAGTTATTCGGGGCATGCTGCCCCTTAAGTTTGCAGTACTGGAGAGGAAATTGCGGGGCGGATGGTGGGGGTGGGGTGGGGTGGGGGTGTTAGCGAGACAAATGACGTCTGACAGTTTGGCATCATGACATTTAGGGTCAACATAACAAAATATGGTACTTAATTTATAACTTACCCCTGACGTCACGACAACGTCACGGCACATTCCCAATAAATTCTAGGGTGTTCAGGTTGTAGTTTCTCGCGATTTATCTACAGCCAAGTTTAGGGTTAGCATTAGAAGACACTAGATGAACACCAAAAAAAAAAAAAAACCACACAACAGCACACTTCCACCCCTTGAAATAAGGGACTGTACATTGAACTTGTACAATGCACTGAGAAAAAAGCACGCACACTATCCTTACATCTCCCCCAACACATCGCTGAGGTAAATGGTCGAAGATAAGAACAAGAAGAAGACATGCCTGGGAAGAGAGGAAGACCAATGAGAAGATGGGTGCAGGATGTGGCGGATAATCTCCAGACGGGTGTATCGGACGCGGAACATCTTGCTTGTGATCGCGAAGTTTTCTGGAAGGTTGTTAAGGCAGCAAGCTTCTGCAAAAGACACGCTACTGACTGACTGACTGATCCAATGACCAAAAAAAAAATTGCTGAATTTGGATGAGCTGGGCCGAAAGCCAAGATATCGCAGCTTAACTGTAAACCACGCTAAAATGTGGCAGCAAGGCGACCGGAGAAGAAGAAAAAATATCGGCAATACACACCAGAGGAGGCTGTGGGGATAGCTATTGCCGCACATTGCGGCGTATGGAAATATGGAAGAAACATAAATGAGCGAGAAACCCTCCTGCGTGCACGTGTGTTGCACCTGAAACAGGTGACATAAATGTTATCAGCGCTTTAGCAGGTTATCAAGACTGGGCTTTAATACGTAGGCCACAATTCCTACATGTATACAAATGTAAAGATGGGGATATTGTAAACATAGGCAATAGAGACATTAGAGGACAATGCTTTACACGTCCTGCAGCATAACTACAGCAACAGGAGCCAACAACACAGCCATATCTCAATTAATCAACACTGGCTTTACTCTCCTCCAATTAGGCATACACTTGTCAACGGGCAGCGCGTGGAAGGTAAGGAAGGAACCTGTGTGTCAAGGAAAGAACACGGTGAATATTTCTGGCACGCATATGCACTAGGTTGAACAAACACACAACAGCCTTTTGGGTTAAGAACAATCATGGAATCGTCCAGGCAGACTGGTATGTGCAACGCCACACTTCAACACGTTAGGATCCGGCTGGCGCAAACAATGAAGGACGTAGGAGCCAGTAACTGTTAAACCTGAAGCAAACTAGAAGATGAGTATCTCCTCATGAGTCGAACAGTATAAATAATTAGATTAAGAAGATAATAAACGCACAAGACAGGCTCCTGAAGAAAGAATGCAGCAAGGCCATATTTAAACAAACAAAACAATTCGAATCCAGGTAAAACAGACGAAAGACGTCGAACAGCCCGAAGGTGCCAGGAAAAATGAACACAACTTAAATCAGAAAAGTCATCAATGTAAACAACAACAACAACAACTTACAATAAAGTGCAAATGCCAAAAAATAATGGAAGTGGCTGAAAAAAAACCCAAAGAAAACTATAAATGTGATACGATCAGAGAGTTAGCGGAGGTTGCTTTTGCGTAGCAAGGGATTCAGTGTTTAACTTGTCACTCAGGTGTACGTCTGCTGCAGTGTACGACTGGCAACATTCAATCTAATATCTACAACCCATGGACAGGCAGCGGGGATCGAGGGGGCGGGAACAAGGAATAGACCAACTGTTCTCTCCCCCCCCCCCCTCCCCCCATTTAAAAAGTTTGACGTAAAAGGTGAATAGTTAAGGACTTAATGAGATTCAATGTGTTTGGGCGAAAGGCGTAGATATCGCATCCTAGCTGTAAACACTAACACATCGTGCCAATAGTCTTTTAAGGCCTCCCACCCTGTTGGCCGGAAACGTACGGCACACTTCCTTGTTGCCGTGTAACACTATCAGATGATGGTACGGTACACATACCACTTTCATGCCAAAATGGCGTTTCTTGACAGTCGATGTTCTTCTGGTCCAGAAAATAATTGTCACCAGGAGCCGTCAGCTTCGATATATGGAAGCAACAGGTTTGACTCCAGCTGCAGGCGATATAGCAGCAGACTGCTTTGCACTGATTTCGACAATGGTGTGGAGGGCCAACGATTCAGCTGCATTGACAGATTACTGTACGTAAAACTGGACAGCAACACTATAAATAATAATAATAATTATGGGGTTGGCCCTGCACTGTTCTGTAAAGAATATATAACTATTTACCAGGGGTCAACATCCGAATACTGGGGCTGCAACATCTTCGACGACAACAACACGAACAACATAGGTACTGGCGACTACATAGGAATGTTTACAATCGCTGGTCAGGTTGTCAGCACGGTCAGGCCCTGCGAACATGGTGCAACAAGGGTCATGGATACGCCCAATGACTCCCCATAAACCGACTAGTGCAGTATACACAGTGTGCAGAGAAACAGGCGGAGGAGGCTGGCTGGCCAATACACAAGTGAGCATTCTATATCCAAAGCTAAAGTACTAACAACCACGTCAGCTATGACAATACTCAGTGCACTTTCTAAACAGTAACTAAATACAACATACTGCTGTCATTATTTGACCTAGACAGAGACAACAAGCTGGGACCCACTCCACTGCTCAAAAAGGTTAAGACAATCCCCTCCCTTCACTGACTTTAATGGGATGAAAGTTATACATCAATGTCAACCATCTTGATGGATGCAGACTTTAGCAATAGCCAGTCTTTTCTTTATGTTTAAAAAAAAAAGGCAACTAGGAGTACATTGGCTGTATACTTATTGACTATTTTTTTTAAACATCTAACAATATATCGGCTTTATGTTTTCTTACTGTTCTTTAGCAACACAACTACGAATTGTTTGGCTGTATATTTTCTTACTGACCTAATCTGCAGAACAGTACATGGGGCTATGTCCAAGGGATCTAAACTGCAGAACAGTCCATGGGGCTATGTCCAAGGGATCTAAACTGCAGAATAGTATATAGGGCTATGTCCAAGGGATCTAAACTGCAGAACAGTATATGGGGCTATGTCCAAGGGATCTAAACTGCAGAACAGTATATGGGGCTATGTCCAAGGGATCTATACTGCAGAACAGTATATGGGGCTATGTCAAAGGGATCTAAACTGCAGAACAGTATATGTGGCTATGTCAAAGGGATCCTTCCTGTAACACAGTAAGTGTGGCTACATCCAAGTGACCCTCACAAGTGACCAATAGTTTAAGCTTGAAGCTTTATCTGTTTCGAGAGCACCCAGTATTAGGCGTAATTTAAAAACACGTGGCATAAACTCTCAACAGTTAGTTTAGGGTCTGAATGTTTAGTTTAAAAAAAGAAACTATTACATTTCAACTCCTGTGACTTATAGCTTTGACACATGTCTTTTTTTCACATAATGGATTTTGTTTTGGTCAAACCATATCTGTAGCTAAGCAACTGCTATCAAGCTTTCATGTCCCACATACAGATTTAAGGTTGGATTAAAAGGGGGGGGGGGGGGGGGGGGAAGGGGGTGTTTACAGGGACCTTACCAAATAAAGTCTATTCCGTTTAACTCTGAATTACACCTGGCATATATGTATTATTGGACATGATAAACTTTGTCAGGTAGATAAGTAATTGAAATCAAGCTGCCCATATCCTACATACAGATTCGAAGTTTAAGAAGAAATTGGGCAGAAAAATACAAGTTGCATGACGAGGAGTGGGTAGGTCCCAACTTGGATGAGAAGTAAATACACTCACTTGCTCTGTCCAGCAGCATCCGTGGTGGCAACAGACATGGCGTCCGTCTCCGACTCTTCGCTGATGGCCTTGCTGTAGAAGGGTGATTGTAGGAAGCATGTATAATAAGTTATGGCTAGCACAGAGGGAAGGACACTGCTACACGCTGTATCTATAATGTTTTTTTTTAAATATATAAATGAATAACAAACTATATACATACACATAAACAGCTTACATCAGGTGCAACTATTGTGGTAGAAGTGCAATGTGTAGCGGTGGTGATAGGGGTGCTGTGGGCATGAGATGATTGGCATCTATACATGAAACGAGTATGCTACAAACAAAAGATATGTTTTTCCAGCTACATTCTCAAGCAAGCAAGCAAGCCAAACATCCGCTAATCACGCCTATCTAGTATTTGCATCAACTTGCACATTATGAAACATGTGAAACAAAAACCAGTACTGGGTAAATAATCGAATAATTCTAGCAATCATGTGATAGAAGTGAAGCCGTAGCTCAACTGTTACGTGATGGCCCAACAATAATATATATATTTAAAGCGCTCTTTTGGCACTGAGCTGAGAAACGTCGCTGCACAAAATTAACGTTTTTTGTGTGGACATTTATTTTGTATAATCTTTTGTGAGTGACACTTGCAATATTCAATATTGTATGTGTAACAGGCATATATATATATTATATATGTATGTATGTATTGAGAGAGAGAGAAGGGGGAGGGGGCATGGGGTGTGTGTTGGGTTGGGTTGGGTTGGGCAAGAAGAAAAGAGTGGACAAAAAGGACATTGGATCAATCAGCAGCGATTTCCTGGCATGAGGGCTAGCTGAAATACTTCACGAGAGAAATGTGCAAAATACGAGGGGAGCCAAACGGAGACATCAGACTGCAGGGACCAGAACATGGTTAACCTGCCAGTCCTCTTGCTGACAGAAAACATCCCTACACTGCAGTTCTTTGAATTACACGCTTTTCTGACGGTGGGCGCCTGCTAAAACGCCTGCTTCCCTTTCACCCTAGCACACAGTCAGAACAATGGCTACCACTGCAGTCAATCGGGCAGCTGTCCAGGGCTTAGGCTGGAGACGTGTCTTTGTCACACCAACTAGCCGTCCCTTGATTTAGCACTACACTGTCAGAAGGTACACACGAAGTTCCTGTAGGATAGCAGTGGAAATAGTTCAGCTCGCAAAATCATCTTCCCAATCCCTGCAAGGAAAATTCAGGAAACGGAGCGGGTGGGATGTGTCAATTAAATGTCTGACCAAATGAATCAAACAGGTGCCGTCTCCACAAAGCAGGTTGACTGCAGTGGACCTCCATCACACGCCATCTCTTGTCTTGGTAGTACACCATCTCAGACTGATCTATATCTTGATGTTGTCCTTCCACTTTCCTCCAACGTTGCCCTCCAGCAAAGTTTTAAAACGTGTTGTATTTTAATGTGACCGAAATCTCTCGACTGTCTCCTTTTCATTATTTCTTTCAGTAACTCTCTTTTCATTCTCAAACGCTTCAGAACCGCCGTATTTCACTGTTTTTGTGTTAATGAAATACAACCTACACTACTCCAGGTTTTTGAACTATACAGAAGAGTGGAGTATACGTAACAGGTTAGTTGCGTTTCCTTTGCAGGGCGTTGCAGAACCGTTGTGTGGTTTTTCTAGCAAATTTACATGCAATAGTTTGTCATTGCTCCTGGACGGTCGGCTTTCTTGATACCACTGTCGAAACCAACGCAAAGCGCATGGCCCGCAGCTGGGATCGAACCCGGCATCCCGAAGCGTTCGCATCGACTTAGCCACAGAGCCGACATACGTAACAATGTTTGCCAAATACAGCCGGATATTGTTTACGGTTAGAATGTTGCTTGGCCCGCGAATGGCGCGAAAATTATCAAAATGGCCACCGGCAGAAACCATTTCACTCTCTCCTGCTGTAAAGGTGAATGAGTGCAGTTAACAAATCGCAAGACCCCACCCAAAACCTCATATTTCATACACTTGCTGATGGAGGTGCAGACAAGGAGACAGCGCGGATGGCATAACCAAAGATACGACATGTTCAGCTTCCTCCCAGAACTGACAAAGGCGCATCAGAAAACCAGCAACATCCAGATAAACAGTGTAGTGTTTCTCAGCCAGACCTACCCCGAGCCTGCTTTGACAGAACCTGTATAAACGTACTCCTCCCCACCCCCCCCCCCCTTTCCGAGAGGAAGGATACAATCCAGCACATCCTCCACCAAGGAAAAATTAAAGACTGTATCAAGACGGGAGGCAGGGCCGTCGTGGCAGGAGTTGTACAGGTACCTCATCAAGCTCATGTGCAATCACCTGTCTGTCTGATAAATGCCCCCCCCCCCCCCCCCCCCGTGGAGGTCAGTCAGATATTAAACAGCACGGTAAACTGGCAATTTTTGACATCTGTTGTGTAAGAAATATTTCACAAAAAGCTCAGAGGGGGACCTGCAGCCGTGTCACCGGAGATACGTCAACAAAATCCACAGTTGAAAGGTTTATGAGAAACTGGGCTGAGAACAATCACAGTGAAATGCTGATGACCGATAAGCATTGCAGCAAATGGATGCCAGAATAGCAATGCAGTTACATTTATGTGTGGATATTTATATATATATATATATATATATATATATATATATATATATAGATATATATATATATATATATATATATATATATATATATATATGAGAGAGAGAGAGAGAGAGAGAGAGAGAGAGAGAGAGAGAGAGAGAGAGCGCGGTAGCGTAGTGACCAGGAGTTCTCCTGCCAGCCCGAAAGTCTTTGGTTCGAATCCGTACCTGGTGGATTTTGAAATTTAAAAAAAAAATGACTGCCTCCCAGATCGACCCAGCCAAAACTGGTAATGTCCTGGCAAGTAAAGGCGGACAGCGTGGTGTTGACCAGTCGTGTACAAAACATGAGCAGCTTCATAAGCCAGACGCACCACTGATGTCAAAAGGGTCCCATAGTTACTATTAAATACACCCATTCAAGTGGTGGGAAGAAGGGAGAGAGAGAAAAGAAAAGAATGATTCGGGGGGGGGGGGTGGGATAGCGATGAAATAAAACATAATAACAGAGAAAACATGAAACTAAACTATTTACAGTTTCCTCTAAAGCACTCAGGATGAATATATAATGTCATGTAGTAACATTATCTAAACTAATTATAACAGTAATAACTTGAAGGTAGAAAATGTTCACAACTAACTATACAGCAACAATCAATAACCAGTGGCAAGAAAAGACAAGATGAGAGAGTGGTGAATGTTGTCAATTCTCTCAGATTTGGTGTCAGGCTTCACACGAACTAGCTGATTCACGTGATAGCTTGGTTTATGGTTCTCAGAGCTGGCAATTCTTCCGCCTTTCATTCCAAACAAATGGACCTATCCTTTAGATCGCCTGTAGTCACTCCACGTCCTCTTCTTTTTCTCTCCATGCTTTTGCGTGTTTACTTAACATTCGCACTATGTCTATTGCTTTATGAACACAACCTGCGTTATGCTTACGCAGAGAACTGCTGTGGCGGGGATAAGTGATAGGAAGGGTCGAAAGTACGATGGGCCTTTGTGCCTAATTTGTGACCCTTAACAAAAAAACAAAAAAACAAAAAAAAATGAAGTTCCTTTGTTTGTTCCTCCCAAGCTTATTCACCCATCGCTAATCCTCTCTTCCCTGTGTCACACCCCCACCCCTTCCAAGCACATATTCTTCCTCTGATCCCGCCTTTCATTGAATCTTTTCATGATCCCACAATGCGAGTTGCATACATGTTATATCCTTTTTTTTTACTGGTTAAAACCTATTCTTCTTAATGCGTACAGTCCTGATATTCCACGAGCACATTCTGAAGATGGTCATAGGTGGACTGTCGTCATCTTCCTTAGCACCGCTTTATATTTTTTCTGTAGAACAGCAACCCTCCTCTACACCAACAATAATTTATGTAGAGCCTGTGTCAAATCCAGCTTCTTTCAATTTACTGCTTCTCCTCTGTCCTCCCGAAATAAACAGAGATTTGGTGTTCAAGTGTGAACACACACTACGAACATGCAAAACCATCCTCACAGATCCTGCTGCTGTCAATTCAGACTCCCCTTATCCACAAAATTTCCTTTGGCTAACTTCTCACATTTTTACAACCTGGTGATGGATCCAAAACATCTCCTGAAGGCACCGATCCATCTGGTCCTAGAGTTCGCTGATTTCGACCCATCTGGCCTTAGAGTTTACTCAGTTGAGCCAGGGAGTGCAGACGTGTAATTTCCAGCAGTAGTAGAAGTCAGAGGAAACACTGAGGTGGCCATGTTTGGGTCGCAGTACTGGGTCTGTATGGTAGCTGAAATAATCTTTCTTCGAAAATTATGAGTTGCAGTTTTCTTCTTCTCACATCCCCACGTCTTAGGGTGAATGTAATCTGGGTGAGAGAGAGAGAGAGAGAGAGAGAGAGAGAGAGAGAGAGAGAGAGAGAGAGAGAGAGAGAGAGAGAGAGAGAGAAAGAGAAAGAGAAAGAGAGGGGGAAGAGAGACATAATGAGGATAAGTTTAGTAAAATGGGGATACACAAATGTAGCAACCGGATGAGAACACGGAAATAAGTAGATCATGTCAGCAGACACCAATAAACGTGCGGGCAATTGACTGATCCTGACTGAGCTAATGAAGTCATTTTTGTGTAAGTAAAACTAGCAGACGAGATTTTAGCGGAAATTTGCGCCAAACACGCTTCATGAAGTGCCACTTATTGTATGACTCAAGACACAGCATAAACAAGATGATTGGTTAATATCTGCTGGCAAATCAACAGAAATGGTTAATGCATGACCCAGCGATATTTCCAAAAAGTTAAATTTGGCAACCCAAGAGTTACTTTCTCACTACAGCAAGAGATGATCATATAAATTGCCAGTGACTGACACTGAGAGAATTAAGGAAGGAATACTATAAGCTATCTGGTTTATATATATATATATATATATATATATATATATATATATATATATATATATAATATATATATATATATATATATATATATATATT